AGAGAGAGAGAGAGAGAGAGAGAGAGAGAGAGAGAGAGAGAGAGAGAGAGAGAGAGAGAGAGAGAGAGAGAGAGTTTCATTAAGTTGCAGTATATTCCATAAGGGCAAAACAAGGACGGGAATCCCTCGACATCTTTCTTTTTCTTTTTTCTTTTTTTTTTTTTTTTTCTTTTTTTTTTCCTCAAGAAACTCCCCTATGAGTGTTAGTGCTGCTGATATGAGCAGACACCACTAACACCTGGGAGAGACTCCATCTATTGGTGGGGAGTGTCACCTGCTGGAAACCAGGTCCAGCGTCCCATGTACATAAATATGTTTTGCGTCGAAACCACCAAACAGGGGAAAACCTGGTCAGTCCAACAAGATATAACCTCAAAATGCTATCATTAACCTCTCCTTCTAGGTCTGGAAAAAGGAAATGCCTCTTCAGTCATACTTCTGATCGCCTGACTATACTGGTAAATCTAGCCTCCTTTTCCAGAACTATGAAACTTATAATGTCTTGATTCCCTTGTCTAGATCCTCCCCTAACTATTCTCCCCCCTTAACCTTCTTCCCCTCCCCCAAACCATTCCAGATTTACCAAAGCCAATCCTGACGGAGGGAAATGATCTGAGAAAGAAACTGGTGATCTCAAAGACGCTCCCGGATGGATGTCGAACCAGTTATTAAAGGTGATCTGGTAGTCCCTTCTGAACGACTCCTGATCCCCCTCCCCTCCTGGCCAACTTACCTCTCCCAGTTTCTCCCTGGACGCATCCCCCAACCATTCCTGACTGAATTTCAATATTCTTTGTTTAATGTCCTTTTTTTGCTTAAATTGTGAAAGTCTATCTCTCAACCCGGAGGTTACTGGGGTTAAAACCCAGCTTGTGCTTTTGCTGGAAACCGGGTCCAACGTCCCTGAGCTGCGAGCCTCTTTAAAATAAAAAGGAATCAACTGGACAATGAAAGCAGCAATCAGCAAGAAAGGGAGAAAAGTACCCAACACAGTAGAAGATTTCTGAAAAACGAAAGCAGCCTACTCCCAAGACTGACCCAAAAACGTTTCTAGGTCCTAGCTGGGAAACAGGCCCAGCATCCCAGAGGACTGCCTTCCTCAACTGTGGACTACCGTCTTCCCCCGAACATAACGCACCCTAAAAATGAATGTATACAAGCTATATTTCCGGCCAGATACAGCCAAAATGAGGGTGCGTTGTGTTCGGGGGAAGACGGTAGTCAGCTGGTAATTTGTACTGGACCAGCCACCAGCCAGTCTGCCAATATCATCTTTTCATCTTCTGTGATGGTCACAAATCTGCCATCTTATACTCCCAGAGCAGGAACACAGAGAGGACAGGCCCTGTAATGGCACCTTCCATGCTGAGGCTGTGGCCCTAACAACCAGTCCGACACTGAGGCTCATTGCTAGCGGTAGCCCGGGTCCTCTGCTTCGTCCCACGGATATTTGGAGACCAAGAGATGACCCTGAAGAGAGAAGTAGATCCATTTAAAGTGTGTATCCCAGCGAACCAAAATACGTTGTCTAGCCATTGGTTCTGGTTTGACTGACATTCTGATCTCCATTCTGCAGAAAAAAGATTACGAACTGCAAACTTAAACTTGTTCCTGAGGAGAGAGAGAGTGTTTTCCATCCATAGGATGAGCAAAGTGGGAACGAATCTGTCGCTAGAACATGGAAATATACACTGCCACATTTTCGTTCTTTGGCAGTGTATATTTCCATGTTGTGGCATTGGATACTTCCATGTTCTAGAGGAAGATTCAATCCGATTTTGGTCATTTGGTGAAGCATGGCATTGTCGGTCTGTGTCTGTGTGTGTGGGATTAGCAAAATCGGAATCAGCCAGAACATGGAAATAATACATG